TACTGTTTAAACTGAATCAGTTGAAGTTCCAGTTATCCTGGAAACACATCTTGGGCAATAGTGCCATCTGCTGTTCACAGCCTGGCATTGCTATTAGAGGAGATTGATTTATGTTTGTAATCTATTAAACATAAATGCAATACAGACTAAAATTATCCTTTATTTTGTTTAGCAAGGCCCATCGCTTCAGAATTTGGGGGTTTTTTATTATCTTTTCAAATGAAAGATTTATATTGGACCATGTCATCTTTATTTACTAATTTTAAATTTGTATACCATTTCATAACATTTTAAAAGAAAACTCTGTAAATGTTATAACATGTGATGTTGGTTATAATATAACTTGAAATAGCAGGAGAGCCTAAATTTTATAACATAGCATCAACAGTAACTAATAAAATATTTGATTTTAATTTTTCATCACAAAAGAAACAAAATGATGTTCTGTACAGTGAGTTAGTATTGATTTTTGTGCTATGTAGTGACTTGGCTTTCTGATTCCATTATTTTTCATTTTACTATGAAATATATATCCCTTCAACCGACATCTGACTAACAATATATGGAAGTCACTTTATTTACCAATAATGTGTTTATTTAAAAAATCATCAAGTGCTAATGGATTTTTTCATGTCTACCATGTTAATGATTTAAAATATCCTATTATTTTCATTCTCCCAGTAACTTTATTATTTGTCTTTATTTTTACCTCTTGGCTGATGACTGCAAGATACTTTATATGCACTACATATAAACAATAACCAGTTTTAAGTCACATTTTTTCCAATCTTAAAATTGGTACAGGATTTTTAAATGACAAGTTGATGAGAGTAACTTAAACTGAATTGAAAACAATGTGATATATGTTATTGATGTATTTTATTCTGCTTCCCAAAATGACAGGGTTATACACAAAACATACATTTGTGGACACTGATATTAGAATTTTGAATGTTGTGTAATTTAAAATGTTTTTATGTTAATTTTCAGACAGCATAGAGCTAAGCTTAGTATAAGGCTGAAAATGTAAATTTCCTATGAATCTTTCAAATTTTAATTTAAATATCACTCTCACAACCCATAAAATGGTTCCCACATTGAAAGATAAAAGCTGTGTTGCTTTATTTTCCTATTGTAAGTAAAGCAAACTGGCTTTCTCCTATCTGCCTGTCACTTTGTTAGTTCTGAAGATAATGTTCTGTTTTTCTCTAATCTTTCTCCTTTCCTTTATAATTTCTCCAACGGTATTTTGTTAAGTATACTGGCCCTTTAGCAGGCTTCTATGTAATACTTTTATTTGTATTAGGAGCTGTTTGTATTTCCAAGTTTAAATCTACAAACACGACAAGCTTTAAACATCAAGTAACCGTTTTTGAGTTCACCTCTGACATTTAATACTAATGATGTGCTTTGCAAATCCAAATGAGAGAATATGTTAGAGAAAAAAAAAAACCAGAGAGTCCAACAATTGATACATGTGAGACATCATCCTGAAGTGATAAATAATGTATTTTGGGTGGGAATTAGTGATTATGAAATAATCCTACTGAAACTAAATAACACCTATACAAATAAATGTTGTTTTCATATTTACATTAAAGTGGGATCACCTGGAATGGTACCCATTATGACTTTTCTCTGCTCTATTAACACTATTATACATGTAATTAATTTAGAAATTATCCACTGGTATGGGATGTGTTAATAAATTAGCTGTGCAAAGAATCTTCTTTCATTTCACATGTTCAATTAGTAGAACATTAAAATCCAGAGGAGCTTTTATTCTAAAGCATGTGGACATATCTGCCCTTCCATGGTACTCTGATAGTGCTTGCTTTTATGTGGGAAAATGTATTCTTCCAAAAACAGGGGTGTTGGCTGTGATGGCTGCTACTTCCAAGCATTCCATGCATGATTTCTCACATGAGAAAAGACTGGTTACAGCTGTCAGGGAAACATCTTTGGAAGAGCTATCTTTCCTATAAATAAACTGGTGGTCACACAAGACTATATAATTATAAATTGTGATTAACCAAAAGTTGAGCCAAAGATTTTGTCAGACAATACTAATTTTATTGAATTTATGAAACCAAATTTCTCTTCATGTTCTTTATATTTATCTCTACAGCAACATTTAAAGTTTTCAGGTTAGAGCTGCTGGGATGTAAAAATTATTTTGATGCAAATAACTCTACTTTCTTGTCAAACCATTTTTATAGTTGTTTCTTAGAAAATAATTCCAGCTATTATCCATGAAGTCTAAATCCCCAAATTTTTAAGTGCGTTAGCTGAGTACAAAATGGCTCCTAATTCAACTGTATATTCATGTCAGCTTAGAGCAAGGGTTTATACAGCAAGGGTGTGAACCATAATATTAAATTTTTTCTGCCCAGCTAGCATGTGAAACTGCTAAAATATGAAAATACATAATACAAAAATATGAAATGACACATGCATGTAGCTGTTTACTAAAGCACTAACTGTTAAAGCAAAAAACTAGAAACAACTCAATTAACCATTAATAGAACATTAGTGGAAAAAATTATCATAAAGCTATAAAATAGAGTACTATGCAATTGTAAAATAGAATGAGGAACTCTCTAAGCTGCTATGGAGTGATAGTGAAGACATATTAAGTAAAAAAAGTACTATACATAGGAGTGTGTTGTATGCTAAATTTGTATAAGCAAGAAGAGAATATGCATACTTATATTTTCAGAAATAAACAATGGAAGGATAAACCCAAACCTAATAAAAATGGTTACCTATGGACTAGGGGGAGAACTAGGGGCATAGGATAGGAAAGGAAGCCTCCTTGTTATTAATATTTGTTTAATTTTTTAAAACTAATAGATAATCACATATTAGAAAAACCAAATAAGTACTTTTGATATCATTAAGGCCCAAGATTTTTATAGTAAAAGAAACAATGTGCAAATATAAAATAAAAGACTTTAAAAATCCTACAATCTTTAATTTGGTTGATAGTATCAGCATAAACTCATTAATTTTTTCTTTCTAAAAATATGTATTTAATATCCCACCCACTGGAAAGTTTCAGGAGCAATGACAATCCAGTAACAATGAATATCACTAGTGCCCAGATTGTTGTCTGTAAATATCATTCACCCACTAAAAGGAGTCTGGGCTCTTTGGAGAAATATCTAATTTCAGTTCTGGAACTTCTTATCATGACTTAAGTACTAGGGATCATGTCAACAGGATGCAGGAGCCAACTTGAAGAGATTCCCACCACCCAAAGGTGAAACAATTTTGGCATCAAAATAGGAAAATTACTACCATGGACTGAAGTACATTAAATATATAAATATTCATGAATTCATAATGGCCATCTTTGGTCACCTTTGAGCCAAAATTGATAAAGACAAAGAATCAAAGGTTTATTGTAACTTTCCTGTACAGGCTGTATATTTCACAGTCACCAAATAGTCAGTGAGGAAACATTCTTCATTATAGAATAATCAGAGCTAATAAATACAGGAATAATAATAGAATTAGGACATCACCATTTTATAACCTTTAATGGTATAAAGGATCTAAGCAACAAACATTAATGTTGATAAATTAATTGAATGAAAGATTGATGAAGAACTTTGTAAGGGGGTCAGGCTAACTCACTTTGGACCCACCCATCAATCTCAGCATCACTAGAAGTGGGAGAAGTGCATCCTGATGTGATGTGATAGGAACTGCACAGAACCACCTATGACATATTCTTGACCAAAAGAAATTGAACCTAGCTATAATCAAGCCTCCGGTCTACCTGCTGTTTTACACAAAATATGGGCGATAGAGGAACATGTTAAATGACACCATGAGGATAAAATCAGCTGGATCCAGAATGCGGAAATTTTTACAGGATAAACGATTCAGGATCCTCAATTAATAAATGGCAGTGAAAGAGAAGAGTGATGGATTGTAAGTGATAAGAAAGAGAATTAAGATACTTATCAACCAAGAGCAATGTGTGGACCTTGTTTGGATCCTTTTTCAAACAAACCGACTATAGAAAGACTGACTTTTTTTAGACAATCAGTGAAAATTAAACATGGACTATGTAAACGAAAGGAGTTATCAATAATATTTTTAGGTATGAAAATGGTATTGTAGTTAAGTTGTTTTTTTCTAATTGTTATGTGTTGGAGATGCCTACTAAAATAAATACTTAGGGGTAACATAGTATGATCTGGGATTTACATTTTATTTTATTTTTTTTGAGACAGAGTCTCACTGTGTCAAACAGGCTAGACCGCAGTGGCATTATCATCATCATAGTTCACTGCAACCTCAAGCTCGTGGGCTCAAGCAATCCTCCTGCCTCAGCCTTCCAAGTAGCTGGAACTACAGGCATACGCCGCCACACCGAGCTAATTTTTCTATTTTTTGTGAAGACGAGGTCTCCCTCTTGCTCAGGCTGGTCTCGAACTCCTGGCCTCAAGTGATCCTCATGCGTCAGCTGTCCAAAGTGCTGGGATTACAGACATGAGCCACTGCACCCAGCCTGGAATTTATTTTTAAATACTCTTAAATCCACCCAAAAAAATTGAGGTGGGGATAGATAGATTGAATATAATAGGAATAATAGAAAGCGAATGATTGTAGAAGTTGAGTGATGGGTACAGGTGGATTTACTGTGATTTTACTCCTTTTATTAATATATGAATTTTCATAATACAATGTTAAAATAAAAGTTTAAAAGAGGCCTCCCACCAGATTAGCCCAGATTAGCTGGGATCATATTAGCAGTGCCTTCTCAGCAGTGTTTTAGGTTTGGGGGAAGAGTCTTAGTTTGTAGGAACGTTATATTTGTGGATCTCAGGGGGGAAAAGTTTCTTGTTATAGCTTATCTGTAATCTCTTTTCATCCAGTTAAATATCATAAGTAGTAACATTTCTTCATAGAAAAAAGAACATTGTTTAGGTATAGTGCTATTAATAAGCCTACATCAAAATACACTGACATTATACCCTCTTTTTTAGACCAAGCCACCCTGGTAGAACAAGTAAAAAGAGTAAAAGAAATCGAAGCTATTGAAAGTGATTCTTTTGTTCAGCAGTCATTCAGATCAAGTAAAGAAGTCAAAAAGGTAAGTTTTCATCCAGGAATTATGAATAAACTTTTGGTTTCAACTGAAGAGATGCTTTATTAATGGATTTTACTTAAATGTAAGTGCCGCCCCTAATAGATGAAAGAGAGCCAGAGAGTGTCAACATGTTATTGAGAGACAATTAATCAGTGAGAATTACCTCAAATTTAACTTGTATATAAAAAATATACTGTAAAAATGTATCTGATGTCATTTTTATTTTAAAATTCACCAAGAAGACAAAGTAAGATGTCAACATGATGGTTCTTTAACAATAATATGCATTTCATGAACATATACAGTTTTCTTGTCAATTGTATACATCTACTTTTTAAAGTGACTTGCTAGAGAAAAGTTAGAACAGAGCTTTAATGATAAAACTAATATCTCCATTCTTTGCCCAGATGGTTATCACTTATTCAACTCTAGTAGGAGCTTTGATTGACATTTTATTTCTGTTGACTATTTCATGTATTCTTTCATTTATTAGTAGGCCTGCTTTTTTTATGTCCCTTGGGTAGGAAAAGGCACTCTGGAAAATACATGTATTCTTTAATAATGTTCATATAACAAAGGCTTGGTTATAGTTATCACTTATTCTAAAATACTGTACATCTGTAAATGTATTCGTGGCTGTATAATATCCTGCCGATGTATCCTGCTGAATGTATCATAATTCATTTATTTCCCCTCTGATATTAGATATTTAAGTAGTTGTAAGTTCAGAGAGATTACATACATGTTTATTATCTTCTTAAAAAAATTTTCAAGATAGAGTTATTTGTTAAAGGTTAACATTGTTTATTTTATTTTATTTTTTTGAGACAGAGTCTCACTGTGTTGCCTGGGCTAGAGTGCCGTGGCATCATCCTAGCTCACAGCAACCTCAGACTCCTGGTCTCAAGCAATCCCTCTGCCTCAGCCTCCCGAGTAGTGATCAGAAGAGCAGTGGTGGACTAACAGTGAATAAATTCACACTCTACTGAAATACAAAACAGAAGGCCAGTGTATTACTTTAGAAAGTGATATCCCCTTCTAGATTCTAAAATGTCTATGTCTGCAATATAAGGCAAGGGTTCAGGATACCCAAGGAGCTGAATTATTTATCAGGAGATTACTTAGCAAAGGGAGGTAAATTATCTTAAGGACTATTTCATCCGGATCATGGAGAAATATGATGAATTATCCCTAATACATAGCAAGGATTGATGAATAAATTACCCATGACCCTAGTTTCAACATTTTTTTCTCCTGGACAGTTCTTCATACTTTGATATAAAGTTCATATCTCTGAAAAAAACCTTTTCATGCTAGTCACCCCTTCAGTTGGTACAGTCTTTCTTTAGCTGTGTTAATTCTGCTAATTAAGCTAGGGAGTTGTTACCAGAAAAGTGGCTATTACCAATGACAGACTAGACACGGTACCTCCTGCAACACATATTGATTTAACTGATTTAACTCTCTGAAATTATATTTCTCTTGTCTGAATAGATAGAGAATCTGATAGCCCCTGATATATCATTAACTTTAGAAACTAAGATGCAGCTTATTTTCAAACTGTTATACAAAATAAGCTTAGTGTCAATTATTCAGCCCTAATATTATTATATCTGGCAGATACCCACTTGTGTTCAAAAGAAGAGTAAATAACTCTATGCAACATGGTCTTTTGTTCTTACACTTGGAAGTGCGTTTTAAAAGTATTTAATAATTTTTCCAATAATTTTTCCAAACCTGACCACCAGGTGGCAGTGCTACTCAAAGCCAGATGTGTGATAGTGGCCATGTTGAGGTTTTATCTCTTATAGTTTTCTTCATTTAAATAAAGAAGCAATTAGTGGTTCTTTCCACAAATTTTTAAATTACCCATTATTAAATAATTACTTCCATGCACTTATCCTAACCTGAGAGCTTCACCTTACTATATGAGTGTAAGTACTTCTTAAAGAAAATATTAATGTACTATGTAGTTAAAAACAGAATGAGATTACTTGGTTTATATAATAGGATGTTATCTGTGTCACGTGAAAAAGTGGGATCCACATCTTTGGCAATGAGAATAATAGCACTCCGCATCTTTTCAAGGTAGTTCAACGTGGACAGCCAGTCTCCTAGCTAAGCCCTATCACAGTACGGCTGAGACATACAGAATGACATGCTCGTGCAGTCTCTGTAAGGCAATATAGACTACCAGAAATCTATGTCCTCAGCCTCTTGGATTAGCATACTTCCCACTGTCCCTATGCAGAATATTGGACTTTAGTGTTAAATGTCTTCAGTTTTATAAAGGGTCAATATCACTTAGGGCCCTGAGCCTTCTAGGCCCAGTGTGTGGGAGACATACAAATATTTGAGACCTGGGGAAAAGATGTTGGCTTCAAAATATTAATATAAGAAGAAAGCTGCCAAATCGAATTTAATAAATATGTCTTTAAATATCTATAAAAATTAGCATTATGATTAACGTTAACATCATTAATTGTTAGATTTGGTATTCATGAATATCTCCACACTTGAAAATAATTTGTAGAATAGATTTATCTTACTTTGCAAGAATTCCTGAACACACATGACAACTGCCCAGATATCTAGCCTTCAAGGACCATTTATCCACAGGAGTATAAATCTCTCCTATGGATGCAGACCAGCTTCTGTTAGCATAAAAATTAAAAATTAGAGTATTTTTAATTGAATAAAATATTTTACATGCCTTAAAAAAAGTGAATCTTCACATCATCACCTCTGAAATAGCTCAGAATTTGTCTCTTCTCAACTCTCCATGGCCACCACCCTCATCTGTGTCATCTCACTCTTTAGCTATTGTGGTAGCCCACTGATTGGTCTTCCTATTTTTCATTTTGCATTTCTGTGGTCCAGGACCCACACAGCAGCCAGAAAAATCTTTTTCAAGAACTAGTTAGATTTCCACCACCTACCGTCACATAATAACTGGTACCAAACTTGCCTTCCCACCATAAACAATTATAGAATTTGACAAGATATGCGTCCAAGTATAGAACAATAGGCAGTGCGGGGTCTTTGAGAGAAGGGAAACAAAAGGTGAGCACCACAATTACCCTGGCTTTCTGCCTGGGAGCACTGCCCAGCTATGGTGCTGGGAGGTAATACCCTAGCAGAGTGGTGGTGTGGCTGAGTTAAGGAAGAAACGACCCAAGTTCTGGGCTGCAATGTCCAGCTGTCCCTTCTGCTCACCGTATACCAGCTCCTCTGGCCTTGTTTCTGATCTTCAAACACACCAAGCTCTTCCCTCTTAGGATCTTTGTACTCATGGTTCCCTCTGGCCAAAGCACTCTTCCTCTTCCTCTCCATATGCCCAGCTCCTTCTCATTCTTCAGGTCATAAATCTCACCTCCTGAGAGATGCTGTCCCTAGCCACCCAGTCTAAAGTAGATGTTGTCCCCTCCCTGATCTTTTCCCCTCCCTGATCCCCATCATTCTGTATGTCAGCACCTTATTTATTCCTTCATGTCACATGCTACAATTTGTGGTTATGTATTTATTTTGATATTTGTTTGTTTATAATCTCTCATTTCCATCAGCAACGTGTAATCTCCAGTTGTGACAAGGACCATATCTATTTTATTCTTCTTTGGGTACCCAGTGCTTAGCAATTAGTAGTGCTCAATAAATATTGGTTATATAGGTACAGCTCCAATTCTAAAACAAATTAATCTAAGAAACAATTAACTGATTCATACATATCTTAATCTCTACACATTTTTCCCAATGATATCTGTTTTGTGCTTCATTCAGAGAGGTGGATATTCAGAAGTAGATAAGTCAAAAGAAAATGGAAATTGAAAAATAATAGGTATAGAAAGAATAACTACACAAAAAGACTACATAGTAGAATTAATCTCCCATTCATCTTTTCTTTTATTATTTTACCTTTTAATTTCAACTTCTTGTCTAATCCATTTTATATTATCCTTGTAACCTTGCTGCTAATCAGTCACTTCGCTAGCCTTCTTCTTTCTCAGAGAAGAAGATATTGAAATTTACCTGAGTAAGCACTAAATAAATTGTACTGTTTAAGGAGCCTTCAAGACAGGAATAATGATTTATTAGTCTCTGGTCGCCAATACTTAGTACTGTGCATGGCACATGGTGAATACTCAGCAAATGTGGGGAAAATTGAGTGTCTACAGTTTGCAAGATGGTATAAGAAATCCTAGAGTTTTATTTTTTACTAAAGATATGACATACTTTTTTTTCAAACTTTAATTTTTTAAATGTTTTAAGTAACCGTAAAAGATAACCTTTGAGTCCATCAACTGATGAATGGATAAATAAAATGTGGTAAATATCATACAATTGAACATTATTTGGAAATAAAGAATATGAAGTACTGATACATACTACAACGTGGATGACCCTTAAAAACATTATGCTAAGTAAAAGAATCAGTCATAAAAGACCACATATTGTGTGATTCCTTTTGTATGAAATGTCCAGAATAAGCAAATCCATACAGAAAGCAGATTAGTGGTTGCTGAGGAAGGTTGGGAGAAATGGGGAGTGATTGCTAATGGGTATGGAGTTTTGGGGAGGATGATAAAAATGTTCTAAAGCTGGTTCTCGTAATAGTTTGACAACTCTGTGGATATGCTAAAAGCCATTGAATTATATACTTTAAATGGGTAAATTGTATGATATGTGAATCTACCTCAATAAGGCTATTTTTTTTTTAAATAAGATAACCTTTGAATTTACTTTTTATACCTAAAGAGGCCAACTAAATGCTAGAGATTTGTTGCAAGCTTATTTTGATTAATAGAATTTAGATATATGAAATATATATATTTTAATATATAGACTTATAAGCACCAATTTCTTAAGAAAAATGTGTTGATCATAAGAAATGATAAACATTTCCCATTTTTGTATTTGTTTGTTGCAGAAATAATTATTTCTCATTCAGTATTGAAGGTTCTTTTTGAGATGGGTATCATCTCAAAGGAAACTAACTGAACAATTATTATTCAAAATCAGAAATATTATTAAAGCAAAATTCTAATTTTGTTGAAATTAATATGTGTTGTATCTTTCAGTCGGTGGAACCTAGTGAAGTGAAACATGCAACTTCAGCATCAGGACCAGCAGCAGCAGTTGCTGATTCTCCCAGTATTGAGAAAGAAATAGATGCTAGCAGCATCCCTACTGCTATCAAGTACCAAGATGACAATTCTCTGGCCCATCCAAATGTAAGATCCTTAAACCTTAAAAATGTCAGTTGAAGTCTAGTTAACTAAAATTAATTCAAACTTTTACCCTTTTGTGCTGACACCAAGAAGACTATTGGAGGAAACAGCTTCATATGTTCCTACTTGCCAAAAACAGGCAGCTGGCCCTGTTACATATATTTGAATCCAATATGGTCCAACTCATGTTGCCTGACTTCTAGAAGTATTCTTTCTGTGGTTAAGAAAAATAGGCAAAGAAAAAAGTTTTTTAAAAAATCTGGGACTAAAAGTTCTAATTCTGGCTTAGCTCTAGTTTGTTCATTGGCTGTGAGCATGTCACTAACATATTTTGCTGTCTTCTGTGAAATGGTGTAATTCCACTGTCTCAGAAAAGTTGTGAGAAATTAACTTCACACAAATACAAGGTGAAAAACTGTTAACCAACGGTGCTGATGCTAGCTAGCCTTTTTACTCTAAGACTTTTCTGAGCATTATTAATTCCAAATAGAAGGTCTTTAATTAAGAAGACATCAAAAGTTAAACTGCATCCAAATCTCATACTGAGAGATGCATTCTGTAAAGGTAATTTGTATCATATTAGGTCAGATCCAAGTTAATGACAGACAATAACATTTTTCCTTTTTCTGTTCTGATTTCAGTTATTTGTTGAGAAAGCTGATGCTGAAGAGAAGTGGTTCAAGAGGTTAATTGCTCTCCGACAAGAAAGACTAATGGGCAGTCCTGTAGCCTAAGAAATATACATGTGGTTAAATTGACAGTAACATTAGAAATTTAGGTTTTTAAATCCCAATATTAACTTTTTACTCATAAAAAGGATTTAGTTGATTCTGTTAAAAGGTAATCTCATTTCATTCTTCTCTCATATAGTCTTGAATATTTGTTGATTTGAACTAAATCATACATTGTGAATAAAACTAGTATAAAATTTAAGAATGCATGGAAATATTATACTGTTAATAAAGCTAATCCTTAAAAAGTCAGTATTAAAATAAATGGTACACAGTAGTGTTTCTTAGTGGAATTAAAAAAATGTCACGTTTTCATTTAAAGTTATAATTTTGAGTAATCATGCATATATTAAGAATCAAATTATATGTTATAAATATGAGATTTCATCTTCCATGTATTATGAAACCATTTTTAAAACTTATTTCACCTTACTGCAAATTTTTAGGCACAATGAAATGCACCCTAAACAGTCTAAGCAGAATGTACATGTTAAACTTAAAGGAATAACATGTTTATTGAAAAAATTTCTTGAAACTTAAATAAATTGAGATGGGCTTCCACTGGGATGGTTGCTCCTTTGAAACATGTTAGCAAATCCCAGCTCATTCTTTTAGAAATCACATGTTCATGCTAGATCTAACTAGTTAGCCAAATACCCATGATGGGGAAATCATTTCTGAGGAAAGTGGTAAGAGCCCCCACTTCAGTCTTACTTAACCAACTACTATTCCCTGTGGAGAAAGCCAGCTAATTGTTGTTTCCATAGGGCTATCTACCATTGTAGAATACCTTGCTCTAGTAGCTAAACGACAATCAACTGTGCATTCCACACTGGACATGTTGAGATAAGGACTTTTAGGCCTTGCTTTATAAAACTAGTTTTTAACAGCTGACATGAATATTTCCCTTTGCTATTTTGTTCTGTTGTCCAGTCTCACTCTAATTTATTATAGTTTCTATGAAGACTGTAGCTCAGAACACAAGATAAGCATGAAAAGTCCTCAAGACAGGATTAGCAACATATGGGTCATTTTAATGTCATCTTTTTTATATTTCTACAATAGCTAAAATTCTAACCTCTGTTGAAAATGAAAAACATACAGAACTTATACTCCATTGCAGATGGTCTGGAAAAAAAACTGATGATGAAATATTTGTTTTTATACATACATGTTTTCCTGTTCCAAATAAATGCTAATGTTCTTTTTTTGTTAGCTATAAATAAAAGTGCCCAATATTAACTCTGGTTTGTGTGGTTTTTAATACAGATATACCAAATTTTAGTGACTTAAAGAGATTATAGTTTCTGAAATATTGTGTATTTCATTCTTTGCATAACTTATAAACTATAAAAGTACTGTCCTCTCTTGGAAAGTATATTTTAGTAGTCTAGGCAAGAATATGGGTTGTCATTTGGGCCACTCGTGATTCTCCAGAGAACCTGGGTTAGGTAGTTTTCTCAGTATGCTTGATCTTCCTTATCTATGAAAAAGTGAAGGCCGGCCGGGCGCAGTGGCTCACGCCTGTAATCCTAGCACTCCGGGAGGCCAAGGCAGGAGGATCGTTTGAACTCAGGAGTTCGAGACCAGCCTGAGCAAGAGTGAGACCCCATCTCTACTAAAAAAAAAAATAGAAAGAAATTAACTGGACAACTAAAAATATATAGAAAAAATTAGCCGGGCATGATGGCACATGCCTGTAGTCCCAGCTACCCAGGAGGCTGAGGCAGGAGGATCACTTGAGCCCAGAAGTTTGAGGTTGCTGTGAGCTAGGCTGACTCCACAGCACTCTAGCCTGGGCAACAGAGTGAAACTCTGTCTCAAAAAAAATAAAAGTGATGAAAATATGGGCTACTTTAATTATATTTAAAACCAGTGTTCCTCTGCTGCAAGTACCCCAAATACAGAAGCTTGAACTGCAATATATTTGTATTTTAAAGCTAAACTTTTCATAGAGAATAGAAAATCAAATTTTTTTAAATGAACTAAACTATGATCCCTGCAGGAACTCAATGACTACTTCCCTCCTTCCTGATTTTCAACACAATTCACTTCATATATTATTAACTTTGTTTACCTGCATTCCTATCAAAGACCACAATATTACCACACAAGCCAAATCAAATTTAATGAGAAAGACTTCATAGAACACTATCAAACATATTGCCAAACTCAAGCGAGGTGATGCATCCTGGCCTTCTTTAATATCCTAAAATAGTGAGTATATAAAACAGAACAATCCCTTTCATGTCACTTGATTGATGATAATAATTTGGACTTACATGAGACCTTAAATGTTTTTTGAAACATTGATTTCTTACGAAACGATGGATACTAATAATACAAGTTGGGTTTTCATTTCTGACTACTGAATCCATTCTCAGGGAAAATGAAATACAACTATTGTTTCTGGCACTCCCTAGTTATGAGGAGGCAGATACCTAAAGAAAGATATGAGGACAGAACATTTTGAGTTATTCACCTACTTTGCTTCAGCATCTCAGCATGTGAAATGAGGATACTAATAGCAGACTCGCTTGCTTTGATTTTTCATTAAAATGACATCAAAGAAAGCCCTTCATAGAAAAGTATACTATTTATGCCAAGGGAACACTTTGACACAATAGAAACTTAATGAAATATGGAACCAATAGTTGCATAAGTAATGATTTGAAAAGCTACACTCCAACTTCAGTGTTTTTCTTATGTGTGTTCTTGAACTGCCAAGGTCAACAGTCCCCATCCCAGCTTTGTCCTCAGCCTTCCCTGATCTGCCAATGCTGTAAGAAACTTTACTTGCTCTGTGGTTAGTGACCTACTATCTACTAACTTGAGGAGTCTCAGGTCTTCTGCACGATCAGATTTACCCATTTATTCATTACCATTGTTCTGAGTACCTAGTTAATGCTGGGCACACTTGGGGAATCCACGGGTGAATCCAATGGGGATTCTGCCCTCATGAGGCTTAGTTATGAAGCCCAGACATGTAAATGATGTAGGAGATGTAGTACTTAGTGGCATAGGAGAGGACTTGGTTGCAAAGATTAGTGAAATTTCTCTGAGTTAGAAAATTAAGGAAGGCTTCATGGAAGAAATCACAACTGAACTAAGACTCAAAGAAGGCAGCTAGAGCCATAGGATTTCAAAGTCACCCACTTGCATGTTCTGATAGCTACCCCAGAAGGCTGGCAACTGCTATAGTTCCAACCTAAGAACAGAGTCCCTCTCATAAAGACCCAAGTGACACTGCTCACGCAATCTTATCAAAAATCCAGGCAAAGTTTTAGGTTCCTGGTAATCCTCTGACTCTCTCTGACCATTTTTTTTCTTTTGGTGGAAAATCATCTGAATAAGACAAGTCTTCATTTGACCACAAGCTTTAACAATTTTGCATTAGTGCCACTTGTCAACCAAGATGACATGAGGTTCTGCAGTGATAGCTGAAGAGAGACTTCTGATGCCTCTAAGAAAGAACTACATCTGCCAGTAAGGGCTTGCACAGCCAAGTGGACCGCTGTGTGTTCCCTGAGACATCATTGTTTTTCTACTCTGTACTATTATAGGAAGCATTGTTTTGCAACTAAAAAATGCAATTCATTTGCCTGTGGTTGAGTCGCTTTCCAAATTTTCCTTTGGTTTGGCCATTAAATGAAAATCTTTAAATGAGGAAATAAAATAGTAACAAAAACTAGAAATGAAACAAGACAGGACATTTTGGGCCACTAAACTGTGGATGAGTTGATCTGCAATGTTTGCACCCATGTTATTTCTTCCTTTCCCCTTTCTCTTCCCCCAAATTCCATGTGAATATTACAAGAGATTTTAAACCAGCTCTTGACCATTGCTCCACTGCTACAACGCTTGGATTTAGATGACTTTTAAATGCCATCCTGTAACCTTACTGTTTGGCACTCCATTACAGAATAATGGAAAAGTTAGGCCTCTTGATAAGAAAACATCTGAATCTTTACAGTAGAGCAGGAATAAAAATGGATGTAAGAAAGAACACTTTGTAAATTCTGTAATCATCATAACCTTTTATCACGGGGATGGACATTGATTAATATATTCAGCTCTATTTGGTGGAGTTTTTTCTAAATCAGAGAAAATGAAGCCATAATATATTTCCAAGTTATTTTTGCTATCATTCTATCCCCAGAATCGGGCCCATTGCCTGACACAGAGAAGGTCTCAATAAATATTTTTTAATGAAGGAAGAATTGATTTGCTCATTCCCATTTCTAATGGGAAATCTATTTAGCAGCCTTGTTATTTAAATTGCTCAAGCTATTTGGAGCCGGTGAAAAAATAAATAAATTTTATAACCAAATTAGTTTGGTTTATCTGATTTATATCCCCAAATGTCTCAGCTGACAGAGGCCTTTGGATGTCATGGGGAAGTACAGAGTGTGTGGTGCTGTCTCTGTTGCATTAGGAGCTAACGACAGTGGGGCTAGAGTTTAAGCAGGGATCTTATTAACGCTACATTGCCCAGACCTTTTTTCTGGTCTAATTTTTTCATTGTATAAATATGTCAAATGGTATAGATGCGGTCATTCAGGGTCCACCGACTAGCTCCTATGCTTGCTCTCCTTCCAAAGCTATAGACCAGTTTTCAAAAATAAAAGCTACCAATATGGTAAGACAACACTTTAAACTCAACAATGTAACCGTTTTATTTTTAGGTCTGGAGAAGGACTGGCAAAATGATCCCGCTACAGTTCTCAAAGAGTGATGAACTGAACTGACCCTCTCTTCCTAGCATCTTGTAACAGGTTACTCAGGCTTATATCTCACAGTATAAAAAACTTAATAGAGTACAGGTTTCCTTTATAATCTTCTGAAAAATGAACTGCTAAAATACCATGTCTTGAGTAAAATCCAAGGCTTCAGTCTATTGCCTATACATGTTCTATGAAAATTATGTTATTAACATAAACTTAAAATGGAATTGAAAAACAATTGAGAAATAAATGTTTTCCAAATGCCAGTACAATGGATTGAATGACCGTATTAAAGATTGGGTAGATTTTTAAAACTAATTCTACAACTAAATCATTTATTTAGCCATATCGTACCTTTTCTCTTTCCTTTTTCTGCTATAGTAAGTGTAATTAATGTGGAGAAGGTAATATGATGACTAGTTTACTAGCAATTTGAAAAAAATGATTTTCCTCAAAATGCTATGCATTTGAATCAGCTGCAGTCTAATTATGTGAGGTAAAAATAGAAGGCCATCCAAAATCATAATCTCTGATAAATATGTTTCATCATGTCTGAAATGTCTTATAAAAGAAATTTCGTATACACCTAGCATAGAGCATAAGTTAGCACCCCAAGCCCTCTGTTACTTAAAAGCTGCTCCATCAAAAACACTTGAACCTTCAAGGAGAAATTCATTTTCACCTTAATATTTGTTCTCCTGCAACAATACTTGTGTTTTGAAGGTCATGTGACTCATTTTCAGTGAAGGTGCTCAGAGAATTTGAATGTACCTTCTTTATAATTAACAACAAGAGAAGACAACAAATGATTAGTAAATAGGTTATGGTTCACCACAGCCTAGAAAATGCCAAAGACCCAGTTTCTATTTGGGATCTTTAACTTGAAGTTCCAATTTTTAAGTATTTTTATCTTGTTGTAATAACTGTGCATTATGATTTCCAGGAGACATTGTTCAATTAATTTCCAATTCCCTTGGTAAGGTGCTTACACAGACCTTGGAGATCTTTGAAAGTAAGAGTTATAAAAATATTATGCTTTTTCTCTTATTTTTTGAAAAACCTATTTTGGAATTACCACAATCTGTGGCAGCAATCTCTGTTTACTAACAAAAGCAGCAGAAATTTAAAATATATTTTTACACTGGGAGATTAAAAA